GTCCCAGCCTCGCGCCCTCCTCCGAGTGGCTTAGACAGTCGGGCAGCTGCGGCCGGACGCCGGCCGGGCGGCTCATTTGCATGTCGTTAGCATGTCATTTGCATAGACCATATGCTCGCTCCCCTGCTGCTGGATTTTGCGCCCCGGGGCTGGCAGGGAGCAAGCGTGCGACCGAGAGACCGGGCTCCCAGCGGGAATGGGGTGGGAAGCCAAGGTGGACGACCCCTTCTTTGGGGGGGGTGGTTAGCTGTCCAGGGGTCCTTCCAATGGGAGCCTAGAGCTTTGAGAGCCACACCCAGGGGGACCCAGGCAGGCAGCTGTGGGGGAGCGGGCAAGAGGGCAAGTCTCCCTCCCTCTCCCGGGAGCCGGGCGGGAGGCGCGCCCCGCGCCCCCAGGCGCCCTGAGAGCCCCAGGCACCCCCCTTCTCCTCGGGCTCGCCGGCCCTCCACATGCAGTGTTTAGAACGTATTTCATGCCGCCCTGGCCGGTTGGCTCAGTGGTCAGGGCGTCGGGCCTGCGGACTGCAGGGTCCCAGCTCCGCTGCAGCCCAGGGGACACGCCTCGGCGGCAGGCTCCGTAGGGGTGCGTGCGGGAGGCGACCAATCCAGGTGCCTATGTGTCTCTCTCGCTCTCTGAAAAACAGTGGGGGGAAAAAACACACAAAAACCTCAGGTGAGGGTTAAAAAAATAAACAATATGTATGTAATTTTCTACAAAGTTACAGTAATTAAGACAGCGTAGTACTGGCATAAGGGTGGACATGTAGATCGACGGGACAGAACTGAGAAAAACCCTTAGGCTTACAGTCAGTTGAATTCCCACAATAGTGCTGAGACAGTCCTGTGTGGGAAGGAGCCTTTTCAGCAAGTGGTGCTGGGACAGAGGATATCCGCATGAGAAAGAAGGGGCTGGACTTCTACATCGCACCATTGAGAGAGAGAATCATAGATGGAAATGTGAGAACTAAAACTATAAAACTCTTAGAAGAAAACATAGGACTAAATCTTCATAACTGGGCAACGGATTCTTAGATACGACACCACAAGCCCATGTGACAAAGGAAAACACACACAAATTGGATGTCATCAAAGTAGAAAACTTTTGTGCACCAAAGGACACCACCGGGAAAGTGAAAAGATAACTCTCAGAATGGGAGAAAATATTCGCAAATCGTACATCTGATAAGGGACTAGCACGGAGAACTCGTACAACTCAACAGTAAAAAGACAACCCCATTAAAAATGAGCAAAGGCTCTGAGTAGATATTTCTGTGAAGACAGTATACAAATGGCCAACAAGCACATGACAAGATGCTCAATGTCATTAGTCATCAGGGAGATGCAAATCAAACCCACAAGGAGATACTATTCGCCACCCACGAAGATGCCTTAACTCCTGGGTGTATCACATAGGCGATGCTTGTCGAGAGTTGTAAGCCGTGTCCTAGACAAGTCAGTGCTGTACCTGTGGTTCATTTTTTTTTTTTTTTGCCAGCTGTCTCAGTGCTGGGGTTGGCTCTGGCATGGGAGGATAGTCAGTTTAATTTGAAGGTCTCTGGATATAAACATTGAGAGTGTTATAGGCAGACAGACATGAGCAGACCAAGGACGATGGGGCAGGTACAGAAGGTCATCAGGGCAGACAGCCCTGGGTGCCTAGCAAGGGACAAAACTGAGAAAACAAGGACTTTGCCACCAGAGTAAACTTTCCTCCCCTAGCATGTCTTCCCTAAAGATAACATCTAGGCCTCAGTTGTATTTCAGCTCCAAGCCCAAAAAAGCAGCAAAACCAGACAAGTGATTCAGTGGCTGCCTCAGGGCCAGCTGCATTGACTAATGACCCCAGCCCTGGCACCAACTAATCAGTGGCGACAGTGACCCTGGAAGAGCACACCTGGAAAGCTGGTGAATATTCTAGTGAGACACTCCCTGAGAACTTCCCTAAGATATCCACCTGAGAGAGAGACAAACACCCTCAACACAAAGGACCCAGCGTGCTGTGCTCTCCCACAGTGGAGCAGCCCTCACCATTCCCTCCCCCCTTCCTCCCTCTGAGGGACCCCGTGAGACTTGCAACCGGGAGAGCAATGGGCGGCAGCAGCTTGTCCCAGGCTAACCCCCTGAACCTGTCTCGAAGGCCCCCTTTTCTCTGACCTCTCAGGGAGCCAAAGCAGCCCAGCCTGGGCTCTCTGGTCACTTCTATGCCCTTCCTTGTTTCACTGTCCTAAGTGTGTTTTTGCTGTAGCCAATAAATTCTTGCTGGCTTTGCTGCACTTTGTCTCTTGATTGGAATATTTCCTTTAAGAAGACGAGAACTGAGGTCTTGTCGTCATCTTCTCACCGGTAACAGGACGAGGGGGTGGGATCTGTTCAGATTTATTTATGGTCCTATAGGGATGATCGCAGACCTCGGGAGGTCCTGTATGGAAGACAGAGAGGATATACTTGGGAGGTCCTTCTGCGCCGTCTTGGCACTCATCTCCCCCTGACCAGGCACAATGAGTGGCAGCACCTACCCGGGTACTCAGTACAGGCTGGATGCAGCCTTCCACCCCATCCTGGGAGCTCTGGCCGGACCCAGGGACTCCATACCTAACCCTAACCCTAACCCTAACCTATACCCAGGGACTTCCTGGAGGAGCCTACCCTCCTGAAAAAAATCGACCCCACTGTCCGCTGGGGAGCCCCACCCTAATCTTCCACCTGTATTTCATCAAGATGAAGTTGATAGAGTTGTGGGGACGCCCCCTCCACCACCCTGGACTCCGGTGCTTTTCCTGAATGAGGTTCTCATCAGGCTAGGGCACGGTCTCTGGCTGCAGCACTCAGAACCAAGGCCGCTGGCTCCCGCAGGCGGTCCCTACAGCTTTCCCCAGGCTTCCTCTGTGACTCTGTCCCCTAAGAATGGGTCTCAGCACTCAGCCTAGTCACCAGGCCCAGTTTTGTTAGGGTGGGTGACCAGGGGCCCAGAGTGGAAGGGGACATCATCCTATAGAAAAGGGAACTGAGTCACCTCCGCAAAGACAGAGGGAGGTGCTTGCTCAAAATCATAAATCTTTAGAAATGAATAGTTAGTAATTTGTAGTTAACAGCACAATGGCCATACACCAGTGATAACAACCATCATCACATTCTCTTGCTGGTCTGCCAGGGCCCCCTGACGTCTCTGGGTGTGGATGGCTGTGCTCTTTTCCTGGAACACTCTGTCCTGATGATGCTTGTTTACCTGCTTGGCCCCCGGTTAGCCTGCTGGTGTCAGCTTTCCCGGACCTCCCAAGCAGAGGCATGAATGGGCTGAGCGCTGTGTGT